ATCAAGGACATAGACAACAATGCAGGGGTGGAGTGTGATGGGGATGAGGGTATCAATGAGGGGGAAAATAGAATCATCTGTAACAAAAATAAATTAATTTAAAAAATTATGTGTTTATTTTAACCAAGCTGTCCACAATTTCTGGGAAGCAAAATTTTAATGCATTGAGATAATGCTCCTGAAAATGGCAGTACTGCACCTTATTTTATACATTACATTCAAAAGAAAAGATGCAAGTGAATTACATGAAATCCAGGATTGTTTGAAGATTAAAATGACAGACTCATATATGTTTTACCTAGGTGGGTACAAGATATTTGATAGTCAACAATATGATAACAATAACAATGAAAGGATTTATGGTATACATCTTGGTATTTTGGTTGTGCCCTGAGGGGTCTGGAAAAAGGGGAGTTACCTTGACAATCCAAAGGAATGTTATCATAGACGCAAAAGACAATAGACACACTTAATTAAGGCAAAGATTGACTTCAGTTAGGGAAGATTCTAGCCTAGGACATGACTATCTGCCATAACCTGCTTTTAGTTCAAAGGTTTTAATTTCAGACCAACATTTGTGGTTATGAAACTGGACAACAAATGGGTCCGGGCTGCCTGTCACTACTTGAGCCAATTAAGCAGAGATAAGGTTGAATTTGTATATGAGCATTTATTCCAATATTGCTGTCAGTATAGGGGACAGGGGATCATTTCTGAAAAATCTGCTCTTCCCCCCATAAATCAAACTGCTTGTATTGAGTATTGCATAGGGAAGTAGGAAAAAGGAATAACAATTGGTAAACCAGTTACAGATATAGGCATGGGGAATTAATGTGGGCTGAGGACTACTGAAGGGTTGTCTTCAGTGCACCTCCAAGATTGTTAGTCTTTCCAGGATGAGGGGTCAACTCTCAGATGAAGAGAATGTACAGCATTACTAAGGTAAATTCTCAAGGTGTACAGCTCCCAGCCAGGTTTGAATGTGTTTTCTTTTATCAGAACAAAGCAATCACAATGAACAGAGCAAGGTTGATTAATATTTCTTATAACTCTGGCTAGTACTCCACTATGACTAGTTCTTTATTATTATTTTCTCCTGTCCCTTTCAGTTACTTTAGGTCTCTGAGTTTGTTAAGACCTCCTTGTAGGCCTTCTCTGAGCTTGTCAAGTTAGCTTGTGTCCCCTTTTTGTCCACATTCTTTGCTGTAATTTAATTAGAATATTATAGGTACTTCCTTTACTGAGTTTACTCAGGCATGATTCCCCAGCCTAAAGTTGCACAGCTAGTAATGGAAGAACCAGAACTAGGATGCTTGCCTTTCTGGCTCCCTTTCACAGGTTGTAGTTCCTGATAGGGCTATGGAGGGTGCATTAACTAGAGATAGGCCCTTTCCTCCAGGAATCAACATTTGAGAGAATTGTATTCCAGATTAATACAGCATTTTAAAAAGCATTGAATACCTTATGCGTGTCCAACTTCTTGCCAGGCCCAGGGAAAGTGTTTTGGATGCTCTGGCTCCTCTTAGCTGCAGTTTTGCCCAAGTGTCAAAGGATATAGAGAATAAATTATCCTACTTTGTATATTCTCGCCCAGCCAGCATATGTACCTCCACCAAACTTGCCAGATTTCACAGAAAAATCTTTGTGCAGGAACAACTTGTAAATGAATGTTTGGGTCCTGGCTGGTTTTGTGCAGTGGTTAGAGTGTTGGCCCATGGACCAAAGGGTCATGGGCTCGATGCCCAGTCAAGGGCACATACCTGGGTTACAGGTTTGATCCTTGACCCCAGGTGGGGTTGTGCCGAAGGTAATAGGTGTGTCTCTCTCACATCAATGTTTCTCTCTCTCTCTTTCTCCCTTCCACTCTAAATATCAATGAGAAAATATCCTCAGGTGAGGATTAACACATAAAAATAAATAGAAATTAAATTGTTTAAAAAAGAATATATTTGGATCAGGATCAAGCTTGGGCCCTATGGGTGGGAAAGAGAGGTCCCTTTTGCCCTGGCCAGTTTGGCTCAGCGGTTAAAGCGTCGGCCTGCGGTCCGGAGGGACCCGGGTTCGGTTCCCGCTAAGGGCACGTACTTCGGTTGCAGTTTGTCCCCGGCCCTGGTTGGTCGTGCGGGTGGCAGCCACTCGATGTGTCCCTTCACGTCGATGTTTCTCTCTCTCTCTCTCTTCCTCTCTCTCCCTCCCACTCTATCCGTACAAAAAAAAAATGGGAAAGTGTCCTCCGGTGAGGATAAAAAAAAAAAAAAAAGAGAGGTCCCTTTTACTTCCACCAGCTCTTTAAACATGTCAGAATCTATTTGAAGTTGAAGGGCAACTTTTTTTTTTTGAAGTACTAGACCTTAATTATGTTAGGGGGAGAAGAAAGCTAGCTCTGGATTTCACACTCCATCTTGACCTAGAAAAGGTGCTGAAACCTTTCCAGAGTGGAAAGGAATTACTGTTTCCTGTTACTTTTACCGATTATTCAGAAAAAAGCAAAGGGGCTGGGGTGTGAGGGTGCTCAGTGTGGTTTCTGTGAGGAAGGCTTATTGGACTAGAGTTCTGAATATAGGGAGGAAAGGACTTTTCAGGTGAAAGGAACTATAAGGGGGCCTGGTAAACTTTTCTACACACCTGATTCCTCCCCAATCACAGAGTGAGACATGGATAATTTGCTTATTTCTATCCAGATACAGATTTCAGCGTTCTCTAGGGTTGTCTCAGAGCCTTGGACACAATAATGTCTTTCAGGCTGGGGCAGGGGTGGGGGTTAAGGGTTAAAAGAGAGACCAACAGAAGAATCACCTCCCCCAAATGCAGCTACCACACCCTGACTCACTTCTGCTAATGCTCTTTTTTTCCCCCAGGGCCCCAAGGGATCAACCCTGTGTGCAAAGACCCAGTGAGTCCCCTCAGGGTGTTCCCTGGGGCTGGCTGGGGCTCCCTGCCAGCTGGCCAGGGCCCAGGAGGGTTAGGGCTATTAGGGAGAGCTAAGGATGGGCCACCAGGCCTGCTGTCCCCTTTTTGTCCCAGAACCTGCCTGATGAGCTTGTGCTGGGTAACTCTGAACAAGCTAGTGCAGAAACCTGGGGGTAACTATTAGTATCCACCTCAAAGTACTACTAGAAGGATGCAAAGGGGACACACACACAAACACATGAGAGTTGTAAAATCCTTAGCTTCCATGACTGAAGTCTTTTTGTTAGTTAAGGTGTTAAGCCAAAATTTCAGCCAAAAGACCAGTCTTGGGGTATGGAGTCTAAACCCCTAGCAGCATGGCTAGGTATAAAAGACATATTTGCAAGTTTTGTTTTTTGTTTTTTAATGCATCAAGTAGGGAAAAGGGAGAGGAGGAGGCAGCCTTAAAGAATTGGAAGTAGCTATAGGCAAAGGGCTGGGGAAAGGTGAAGTAGGGCCAGTTCTCAGCTAGCAGAGTTCACAAAAGAAATGTCTACTCCTGTGGGTGAGCCAGGGCAGCACAAGGTGGGGTACTGGGCTTATGTGGAGCCTAGCTAAGATAATCTGTGGAAAGAACAAACTGGAAATTAATTTGTATTTCCAACAGGCCATACAGGGATGTGAGAAATCTTTTGTTACCTGGTCATCAGCCATTAACAAACGAGCAGTTCTCCCTCTTTCAGAATTTTCTCCTTGTCAGAGTCACTAAATATTGATGATGTTAACAGCTGGAAGAGTAACTGAGAGACACTGCCTGGGTCACACCTGGTCTCCTAGATGGCAACATAGATGTCTGTTATCCAGAAGAGCAGACAGACCCCTCTGGAGGAGTGGCCAGGGCCCAAGTCTTGGGAGATTAGAGGAATGGCCCATTTCTCTGGTCACTGAGGCTGTAAGAGTCAGGGCAATCAATGACATATTCTCAGGCACCCCCCCACCCACCCACCCACCCACCCACCCAGAGACTGTGAAATGGGCCAGCATCCCTTTGTATATTGTCCCAGGATTATATGGACCAACTTATCAGGAGTTGGAAGTACCACTTAAGATAAAAGATAACAGAAGATTCTGTCCCCATAAAGGGACTTCTCTGCTACTCCAAGTTCTCAGACCCCTGGAGCTGGGGCAGTGAGAAAAGTCTACAGAATGTTTGCAAGCAACTTAGAAGCCTTGAGAATTAGAAAGGTTGCCCCTTCCTTTTTACCAGCCTTCCTTGAAAATATGAAAAGCACTCCTTGAGTAATGCCATCGACATTTGATAATTTTCTTTGTGTATGTTCCATGGTCCCTTTTCACCCCTCTACTGGGTCCTCAGTTGCTTTCTCAAGGCTAAGCCAGGAAATTTCAGGGCTGTGCACTGGTGTAGAGTAATTATTTATCAGGTACTGTGAAGAGCCACAAAGCAATATTTGGGGGTCTGTCAGAAGGGAAGGTATTCCCTTGCCCAGGCCCTAGCTCCTCCGAGGCTTAGTTAGCCTAGGCAGCCACTGCTGGATATGTTTATGCTTCCAGCCCAGGCCTGGCTGGGGCCATGTCAGTGACTCAGAAAACCTGGGTCTCAGAGGAAGGTGTTGCTGTGGTCCAGGCCCAGGGGCTTTCTCATTGCCCTGGTAGTTTCTGAGAACATGCCCAGGCTAAGACCCCCTGATCTAAGGCCAGCCCAACGGCTGGAGGCAAGCTCCCCTCTGAATTCCTCCTGCCCTTCCTGGTAACACAAGGATTCCCCCACCCCCACCCCCACCCCCACCCATTTTGAGGACTCCCATGGCTTTGACTTCTCTTAGAGAATGAAGTGAATGACCTTGCTGAGGGTGTTACAGGAAATTGGGGGTCTGCTTGTCCTTCTATTCACCAAGCTAGAGCTGCTGCAGTTGTTGGCAGGGCTCAGTGACCTCCCGGTAGGGCAAACCTGGCTGCAGTCCACCTGCAAACCATCCATAGCACCTGCCCAGGAGAGAAGGAACCCTGAAATCTACTGGCCAGTTTTCCAGGGCTTAAGAAAACTGAAAATAACTCAAAGCTTGAGGAAGTAGAACCCTGAGCTTGAGTGACAAGCTTCCCCTGCTGACCAGAACCTCACCATGTTCGCTGCACCAGAAGCAGTGGTGGGCAGGCTTTAGGCTTGCAGTGAGTGTGGCAAGAGCTTCTGGTACAGTTTGGTGCTGCTGAGGCACCAGTGTGCCCAGAGTGGCAATTGCTGCTTCAGCTGCCTGGACTGTGGTGAGTGCTATGCCCTGGCCCCGAAGTTGTGTGCACACTGACATGCCCATGCTGGTGCCTACATTGCGCAGAGTGTGGCCAGAGCTTCCACCACAGCAGCATCAGGGTGTGTATTGGTGGCACCACCTTTCTTTCCCCTGTAGCTGCGGTCGCCACTTCCCACACCAAAGAACTGTCTTTGCACCCATGCTGCAGGCAGGCATCGCTATCTGCTGTGTGTCTGCACCTTCCACCAGGCGCTGGTGCACCTGTGGGACGTGCCAGCCATTCCTCCCCTATGCTGCCCACAGTGCCGGTGGGCCTTCTGTAGCGACGCAGGGCTGCACAGCCACACATCCACAGGGCTGGAAGCCCCAGTGACCCTCACTCCCCAATAGCCACGCTCTCTGGACACACATGTGCCTATGGCTAGAGCTTCGCAAGCACTCCATACTAACACCTACTAAGGCACTCAGGCGAGAAGCCCTTCAGGTGCCCTGAGTGCAGCAGGGCTTCTTGAAGAGTGCCACCAATGCACCTACACCAGCTAGAATCCCTACATGTGCAGTGACTGTGGGTGCTGCTTCAGCCAGAGCTCTATGCTGTTGCGCCACAGGCACAACCACCAGGGTGCATGGCTGCACACCTGCGTCATGTGCGGCAAGGGCTTTGGCTGGCACTGACTTGGTGGTGCACCAGTGTATGTATCTATACTGGTGAGAGGCCTTTCCCATGTCCCAAATACAGCCTCCACTTCAGTGATGGCTCGGACCTCACCAAGCACCAGCACAAGGGAGAAAAGCCCTGCCGCTGTGAGTTGTGTGGCAAGCACTTAGGGTACATATCCAACTTCATTGTGCAGGGGCGCGACCACACCAGCCACAAGCCCCCCAAGTGCCACCAGTGCGGCAAGGCCTTTAGCTTGGGCCCCATGCTGGCGCTGCACCGCATGACATAATTGGGTGAGTGGCTGGCACAATATGCTGAGTGTAGTAAATGCTTCAGCCACAGATGCTGGCTGTCACACCAATGGGCCCATAAACATCCACCACCGCCACTCAAGGCACCATAGCCATCACCCTCATCTTTGCTGGGCAGGTAGGACAGCAAAGGCAGGGAGGGACTTCTTGTGTCTCAGCTGAGGGAGACTTGCTGAGAGGCTTCCCTGGAGTGGGCTAGGCAAGCCCAACATAGTGTCACTGGAACGGTGCGCCAACACACAAGGTGGGTCTGTGCAAAGAAAGCACGGCCTGTCGCTTTTACCCGTATCCTGTGGTAACCTGCACCTAGCCTCCTGCCGTGTCCCTACACCTACTTCCTTGTCAATGTTTTTTCTGTCCTTAGTCCATCTGTTCCTCAGGAGAGTAGGTGCGGAGTCAAGACAAGGCCCCAGATCTCCATGCTTGGGAGAGCCTGGGAATTGAGTTGTCCCACAACTGCTGTGCTCTCAGGTCTTTCTTTCCAGTCTTCCCACTTAGATTTTCTTTTTCCAACCTGAATCCCCTCTACTTCTTCTGCCTGGATACTTTTGATGTCCTGCCTCTTCTAGTAATGGTCACAGATGTGGCCATGGTCACAACCCACCTGCCCTTCCTGCCTGGTGATTCCACTTGGCCTTTTTGCTGCTTCCTCCTTGGTCTTATGACAGATTGGAAATTTGCAGGCAGAAAGAGGGAAGTTAGTTTCATTGAAGGACCTCTGTATGCCAGAAGTACCCAGCCTGCTGCCTTGGAGAAGGCTCACCCTCATGAAGGTGGGTAGGAACCTTTAGCATGGCTGCCCACCTGTCCCAGGTGCCAGACCTGATGGTATCTGGTGCCTCTTAGGAGAGTATTCTCCAGACAGGTGGGGGACATTAGCCTGGGGACCTAGGCTAAGACCACATAGGTCCCCAAAGTCTGGCACTGCCATGTGGAATACCTGAATTAAGCTCTGAGTTCCAGAGGCAACAGGGCAGGGTGGAAATTTCCTGGGCCAGCAGTTTTCCACTGTGGCTGGTGAAATAAAAGAGTTATGTATCTGGGTTCAGGATGCCAAGAGCCTCCTTTATCAAACCTGCAGCCATGTTCTCTGCAAACTTGAGGAGAAAGGCCAGCCTGTGAGTCAGGTCCATTTCAAGTCCCTTGGTCTTATCATTCCCAAGGCAGCTCAGCAATGTTGCATATACACAGCACCCTGGATTTTGCACTAGAAGGCAAGATTCTTTGGGCCTGTACATTTGCTTCTCCTGGTTAATGGACAGGACAACATGGACAACAGGGTCACATACCTTTATGCCTGCTCATCCATACCTCCAGAATGACTCAGTACTCTCCCTGCTGTCACAGCCTGCCCTGCTCCAGTGAGTAGGTGTGACACTCCATAGAAAAGGGCTGCAAAGCGCCCAAAAGAATTGGGACAGCCGGGTCCTTGAGGTGGAGGCCTGAATAAAGGAACAGGGCTTGTACCTGTGCTGCACATCTAGCAGAGTGCCTACAAAGGAATCAGGATTCCTGCACCTCAGGTACAAAAAACACTCTTTGCCTACACATGTCCATGTAAAATACTGGGTTTATTCTGTCCTGTAGGAAGACTATAGCCTTGCTGTCCTGGAGTCCAGTTTTGCCTGTGCCCTGCACTCCCTATCACCCTAGTTCCCAGGGACCAGGCAGCTGGCCTTCCTCCTCTTCAGTCCCTGTGGTCACTGTTTAGGAAGCAGGGTCAGGGCCTGAGAAACCCAAGAAGGCCTGCACCCATCACTGGACCCCAAGAACACAGGGGCAGAGATGCTGGAACAAGACTCCACTGGGCTGAGTTGCTCTGATGGAGCCAGGAGTAGGGCCGGGTGGCTTTTGCTGAAGTGAGCTGTAACGCTGTCTGGCTTCTCAAAGCCCTTGCCGCAGACCTCACAAAGGAAGCGCAGGGTGGTTGCTGTCTCTGCATGCTTGCGCTGGTGCCAGTTCAGGGAGGCTTTCTGGCGGCAGGTGAACCCGCAGATCTCACACCTGAGCCAGGATCAGCAGAGGGACGTTAGGGGCCTCAGCCCAGTTGCCTGAGTATCCTGCTGGCTCCCTCCTCCAATACCCCCCACACTCACTGCAGGGGTTTCTCTCCAGTGTGGATGCGCCGGTGGATGACCAGGTTGCTGCTGGTGCGGAAAGACCGGGCGCAGAATTCACAGATGTAGTCCCGGGTGTCTGTGGGGGCATGGGGACACCCCAGCATCCATCCCCAGGATGTGGCCTTTCCTCAGCCCACCCACCAGCCCCCAACAGGAGTACTGAACCCATTCAGCCTGTACAACACATCCGTCCTGGCCCTCCAATGCCACCCTGTGGCTGTCAGCAGCAATTCCTTTTTTTCTGGAACCTGCCTTCCCTGCCATCTCAAAGATTCTCAATGCGTCTTTTAGACCATCAACTCTGTATACCCTGCCATCAGACCACATACATACAACAGGCTTTGTCCCCATTACTCCTCTGTGCTCCATACAAAACTGGCTCCAGGACTTCTCTCCAGCCACTCCTAATGTCAGTTTGCTTCCTACTTGGCCAGCACTCACGTCTCTGTTCTGTGATGTGACCTTCACTGACCTGGGCTCCCACCCTTCTCAATTACAACTCCCAAGAATTGTGTACCCCATCACCACAATTTCAACAATCTGAGTTCTAGCCAGGGAACTGGACACAATACTCTACCTTGTCCCACTATGATAATCCCGTGACTCCAGACTGCCAGTCCAGGGCCCAGCACCTTCCCCTGCCTCTCTATGACCAGCATTGTTTCTAGGGAAGCTGTTTAGCCTTCTGTCACTCATATCAACTCACCTGTTCTTCTCTCCCTCAGCTGCACCTGCTAGGTTAAAACCAACACCGGATAAACACAACCCTTGGCCTGCTACAGGCCTGCACATGTGTACTAAGGGGGAAAAAACTCCCTCCCTTCAGCCTCCCCTTTCATCCACCAGAGGTCTCAATGGTTCCCCGCATGCCTCTGCATTACCCTGATCAGCTCATTCTCCCTTCTTTGGAGTCAAGAAGACCATATCCATACCACCTCTTCTCCAGCAGTCCCATTCAGCACTGAGCTCATTTTCAAAGTCATCAAGAAGAGTGAAGCCCAGAAAAGATTCTCATATTCTGACCCCACATCTACCAGCCAGTATACTTCTGTGCCCACTTACATGACTACTGCCTGCTCCTCTGCAGCTGCCCTCCAACTATCTCTGTACCCCAAGCTTATAGCCCTCTTAACTAAGAGCCCAATTCTCTGCTTATTTTCTCAGCAAAACTGAGTACTGTCCATACTCACTGTCTCCACTTCCTTAGCTCCTTCCTACCTGGAACTCACTCCATTCTGGGTGTCATCTCCCTTATCATGCACTATCTGGTCAAGGATGGCTATCCTCATCCTCCTTACTCAGCCCTGTGGCACAGGCACAACTTCCCCCCTCTCCCCAACCCCAACACTTTGTCTGCTTGGTCCTTCAATACCAGTTTCCTCACCTGCCTCACTGGCCCCTCTGCCTGCTCAAGCCTCCTCACCAAGGCTCACTCCTTTCACATAGGATTATGTCACCCACAGCTCCAAATATCACCCATGTGCTCATGACAAACATTTTTTTGTCTGTATCTTCTGAACTCCAGATTCACATTTTCTGGAATACCTAATTAGCATACCCCAAATTAAATGTCCTGTTCCTGAAACATGTGTCTCAGTTTCAAGAAGCCACATCACCTTCCGCCCACTTACTCAAGCTGGAATCCTCCAAGTCACCCAACTACTCCCTGCCCATCCCACCTGTGCCTAATTTGTCCTTCCTACAGCAGCCCTTCTGGCTCCATCACACTCTCATCAGCCTCCAGATCACCATCACTGCACACTGCACATTCCTGTGATCCTCTACGCCACATGGCAGCCACAGATCTCCTTATAAAGTCAGCTGTGTCCCTTCACTGCTCAAGACCCTGAGATGAAGCCTATCTCATTTGGCCAGGAGCCAAGCCATCCTCATGGTAGTCTTGAGATCCCCACCACCTATTTGTCTTCTCATCCTTCCCACACACCTCCCAGAGATGGAAAGGTCTCCATTTCTCCCTTCATCAGGTCTTTGCTCTAAGCACCTTCCCTTTCTACAAGAACAACTCCTCCCCCATGCACTCCTCACTTCCCTGCTTTCACATCTCTTCTGTGTTCTGTATCATGAGAGTGGACATCTTATGAGGTGAGGACTGTCTGTGTTGTTCACTGAGGCATCCCAGCACCTACAACACTCTCAAGCAGTCATGTGCTCAACACTCAGGGAATACAGGATAAGTGTGAGTGCAAGTCACCTACAGAGGGTGTGACAGGAACTACAGGCATATGGCAAGAACTGCAGATAGTCGATAGGCCCCACATGGGAAGGTGACAGGACTCAAAGAAGGATGTGATAAACCCACAGGAGGAGGTAAAGGACCCTAGAGGAGGGGTGGTGATGAGTCCCACAAGTGGAAATGAAGGGACTCACAGATGGGAAGGTAAAGGAACCCACAGGGGTAGGTAACAGGACCCACAGGAAGACATGATAGACCCACAGGTGGAGTAAGAGGGATCCACAAGGGGGAGATGATGGGCCTCCACAAGGGGCAGTGAAGGGACCCATGGGGGAAATGAGGAGGCATTCCCCCCACTGACCACTATGCAGCTTCACATGCTCTTTCAGGTGTTTCTTGAAGTTGAAGGACTTTCCACAGGCTGGCTCTGGGCAGGAAAATGACTTCTGGTGGATATGCTGGTACTTCTTGTGGTGCTATTAAAGAAACACAGTGGTCTCCTCAGGGAGACCCCAGAGCCGAGCCAGCAGACAGGATCCTCTGCCCCAAACCATCACCAGTGGCTCACATATGATCATCCCCATCCCATCCCATCCTGACCACAAACTGCCCTCATCCTATTGTACCATCGATGTCTATAATCTCATCTTCTTGCCACAACTTCCCCTTGTGATGCCCAGTTCCCCAACTGTGAACGTGCTGTCTGCTGGGGATGTGACAATTGTGGTAGGCATGATTATTCTCTTCACTATCAATATTCAAATACAACATCACTGAGATGGCCTACTTTTTAGTAATAGATCACCACAGATATATATTATATGTTTTTTTCAACACCTGTTTTGGACACACACAAGTGCTCTCAACCTGAAATTCTTAAGGGCAGCGTGTTCTTCAAACTTGACTCACCAAGTACTTCTGGGAAATATTTCTCATGTGATGCAGGTTCATACTCTTGTCTCATTAAATCCCATGGGCTTCCCCTTCCAAAACCCCACTTTTTTTTTCTGGATTTATTTTATTGTTTCCATCATCATTTATCCCCTCTATGCCCTCTTCCACCCACACCCCCACAATCACCACACAGTTGTCCATATCCATGAGTTGACTTTTTTTTCTTTTTTCCCCACTTTCTCAGTTAAACTGCTGCTGGGGGCTGCTTCCGTCTCCTCCTTGAACAAGCTCAGTGTATCTGACCAGTCCTGCTGAATATCCACAGCCCAGAGCCTGCTGCCACTTGGAGACTGTCTCCCTCTAGTTTCTCCTGGTACACCCATACCTCACCAGCCCTTTGTAGGCCCTCCTCAGCCCCAAACCTGGCCTAAGGGCTCTGGCTGAGTGTAGGGGTAGGCCCTGCCCTCTCTGTGCCTCACACTTCTCCTGCAATGAAGATGGGGACAAGACTTGGGAACCCCAGCACTATTAAACACAAGCTGAGGAGCCGTGGGCAGTGCTTAACCTTGTGTACCTCAGTTTCCTCCTTTGCAAAGTGGGAACATTATTAGCACCTACTCCCTAGGGATGTTGTGAAGATCAACAGGTCAAATGTTTACAAGAGTCACTATCACCCAGAGAACCTGCGGATGCCACCATCATCTCCTGTGGTCCCCGAAAGCAATGCAACAAGCAGTAGTGGGATGTGGCTGAGTTCAAGGCTGGGTTTTCTGCCTTCCTTCCCAGTCAACTGGTTTTATGATTATTAACTGCAGGTAAACCTTGAATGTCCACCCCAACCCTTTTCTTCCTGACTCCCAATCATACCCCAGGCTTCTTCGCCTCAGCTTCTCCTGCAGCCCGTCTCCTCTACCTGAGGCCACATGGAACCCAACTTGTGCCCCTCACATCCTCACATTCAAATATTGCCTGTTGGAAAAGATCCTTCCACAGCCAGGGAAGTCACAAGGCAGCAGCTCCTTTTTCGCAGCTTTCCTAGAGAAGCAGAACAGGGAGAAGCATAAAGATTCCTGTAGGCTCTCCTTGGCCTCCCTCCTTCCTCTTAGTCCCCCTCCCTCCTCTCAGCCCCTTCCAGAGTTCCTCCCCGAGTCTTACCTAATCCTCTTGGGGCCAATCTGTACACTGTCCTCATCCCAGGCTACAGCCAGAGCAGACTGGACCTGATTCCCAGGGCTATGAGCAGCAAAGAGGGAGCAGAGGGCCTCGAGGAAGGGCCATGTCCCAGGACACCCCTGCCCTCTATCCCAGCTATCAGGTTACCTGGCTAGGGGTTCACTTTGCTGGACTGCTTGAGGGATCTGATTGAGCTCCGGCTGTACCCCACCTTCAACAGACAGAGGAGCTCCAGAACCCAATGAGGATGCTGATGAGTGTGGCACAGCAACAGAAGTGGAGGCAGCTGCCAGGGGCAGAGGTGTCTCTCCCTCCTTAAGTGCATAGGTGACAGGGAAAGGGGGTGGTCTGGGGACATCTGGTTCAAAGCTGAAAGAATGAAGAGGAGGACATTATCTCCCTGGGCCGTCAGCCAGCCAAAGCCCAACCCTAGACCCTAAATCACAAAGATCCCAAACTCAGAACAATTCCACCTAGGCCTCCACTCACATCTGCGTTAGGCCTAACTTCACCCCTCAACACACAATTCCGATCCTCCAGTTCTTTTTGTCCTCCCCACTAAGTCTGCAAAGCTCTGCATCCCTGGCCAGTTGTCCCCACCCTCCTGCTCCAACTTGCTTGTCTGAGGATGAGCTGTAGGTCCATGGGCTGACATCACTAAGCATCTCCTCTTCACTCTCACTTTCAACCTTTCCCTCGTCTTCTCCTAGGGGCAGGAAGGACTCCGGTGGGTGTCCCATTCCTCTGCAGGGGCAAAGAAGGCAAACCTGAGGTTCTGATCCCTCACCCCTACTGTCCACCCATCTAGCCTGTCCCTCCTTCACCCAACCTCACCTGGGCAACCTCGCCTCCTGAGTCCTCTCCTCATGCGCAGATTCCAAACCTGCTGGCACAGGTGGGGTCAAAGGGGAAGAAACTCTGGGCTGGAGGGATGAGGGCAGGTGGACTATAAGGTCTGAATTCATGAGAGGACTCTTAGGAAGGAGTAGGAGGAGGGGGCAGAGGACACTACAGTGGAAAAGAGTATTTTATTTTAAAAATGACACATTCACATGCATCAAAAGAAATACATATATAAAAAGGTACACTGTGAAAAATCTTTCCAATACTGTCCCCCAGTGGCCTAGCTCTTCCCACAGGCAATCTAGTTTCCACTTGCCCTCCCAGAAAGATTTCATTCATTCAAAAGTACTTTCTCCCTTTATTTTCCAACCAAAATACATGCCAGACATCCTATTCTGTATTTTTCTTTTATACCTAAAAATATATTTGAGGATATATTTCCTTGACAGAATAATTTTTCCACTGAGAAAGAATCATTTTTGGAGAATAGGGTTCTGAGCTCCAGAGATGAAAACCCTTCTCCCATCCTATTCTCCACAACTCTTCTTTTCCCGGCCTACCTGTAGGCTCCTGCCCACCCCTGGCCTCTGGGCACCAGCTTTTCTGGGAAGTACTTGGAAGGAGGGCTGGCTTGGACGCTGCTGGAGGTGTGGGGCCTGAAGAGGGGCTCCAAGAGAAGGTGTGGCCTGCTGAGCACTCCCACACAAGCCCACCATCTCTGCCCCCGGGCCCCCGCAGCCCGGGCACCAGGCTGCACTCTTGGCTGTGGGTATGAGATAGGAGCACCAGATATTGCAGACCCTTGAGGGGCAAAGGCTTAGGACCTAAAGGGGTGAAGGTGACAGTCAGAGCAAGCTGAGTTGCCCCCTACTCTCACCCTTGAGAGCTATACTCAGACAGTCTTGCCTCCCAATATCCCTGGGCACCCTAGTACCTAGTCCAGTTTATCATTCTTCAGAGTTCAGACCTGAGAAACTGCTCCCTTCCCCACAGCCTGCTTCCATCTGACTGCCTTGGGCTCCCCAACTCCTTACCTCTTTCTAAACTCCCTCAGGGTTCCCTCTGATCCAATCCCCTTAGGGAGAGTGTTCCTGGATCACACTACTTGCTGTTGCCCCTCTTCCCTCTCTGGCTCCTAAGACCCTTTCCCCAGCTGTTGCTTACCCACCTGCACAGAGCACACAGCCTGAAGAAGTGTACCTGCCAAAGGGACAAGAGGCAGGTTAGGTCGGGCCCCAGTTGCACAAGTGGCGTCAACTATGGGCACTCACACACTTAAGGGGACAAGCTCTAAGGGTCTCCTATTTCCTAGGGGCCAAGAGGTGTGGGGCAGGGCTCTGGGAGGCCACAAAAAACACAGGCCATACTGCTGAAGTGAGAAATGGGCCAGAAGGAAGGAGCAGTAGGCTAGCACTTGGGGGGTAATATGGGTACTGCGCTGGGTGCCCCCCCCCCCGCCCCCATCCTGGTCTGGCCCTAACCGATCCAGCAGGAACTTGGCGAGTTGAGAGTGCAGGGAGAAGCCCAGCTGCTCCTTGAGGAGGCACCACTGCTCCATGTGGCTGCCCAGGCGGATACGACACTTGCTGCGGCGCGCGTCCAGCTGCCGCCGCTTCTCCCGTCTCCGGCGGGACATGTCTGCCGGGGAGGCAGCCATGGGCCCGAGACCTGCAAGGCAGAGGATGAGAGTAGGCCGGCCTGACCCTGACCCGCCACTCCCTGGCTAGCCTCTGGGTCTCAGCCGTGAATGGGCAGGTCCAAACCGTTGCTATGGCACTCCCTGCAGCTGGAAGTAGGCAGGGGACCCGACCACCAAGGGGCAGGTGCGGCGGGCTGAGGCGTGAGTCTTCCACGTGAGTCCTCCCGGGAGGGGAGCTTGGTGGGGAACAGCTTCAACTGCAAAGATGTGTCGTGCGCGCTGGGGGCATTCTGCACAGTGGGGTCGCTGTGGCAGGACCGGGGGTCTGCAGGGCGGCCCACTCGGTCTCGGGCCGCAGCACTTAATACCTACAGTGCGCGGACCCGAGTACTGCAAAGGCCACCCCACCCAAGCTCCCGCCCATCCCGGTCTTACCAGCTTCCCAAGATGCCTGCGCCGCTGCCAGGCGTGGGCCGGACAATGGTGTAAGGACCGGGCCCACCTTCCGCGCACCGCAGTCGTTTCTCCTTTAAGAGCAACACGTCTCCTTCCTCTTCAGTGGCCCTCTCACGGAACTGGGTCTGGCTGGGGAGGAAGTGATGGGGAAAGGGGGCGTGGAGGCACAGTGTGCGCCTGCGCATTGGCGCCCTATTAAAGTGCCGCACTATTATGCACGCAGCGGGGCGGGGCGGAGCGGAGCGGGGCGGGGCGGGGCGGGGCGGGGCGGGGCGGGGCGGGCGAAGTGTGGAGTCTCGCTTTCGAGGCTCCTACCAGTATTGGTGACCGAAGGCTTGGGGAAATGGTGTTCAAACCAAACCCTTCAGTCTGCAGCTACCTTAAAAACTAACCAGAATCCTCTCTGCATCCCAAGGCCCCTACCAGACATAGCCACTACCTCTGTGCATCAAAGGTACTCAGAAAATTTGCCCAGATTCCCTGCGGCTACTTATTCACTTGCCATTCTTTCTACAATAGACTAATGGAGCTTTCATTGCCACCAAGCCACTAGAATACGCTTCTCAAGGCCACTTGCGGTGGCCACCTTGCCAAATGCGGAGGTCAGTTCTCCACCTCTCCAACCTTAGAGCAACATATGAAGATGTAGACCTTTCCCTCTACAACAACACCCACTTTGCTTCTGTGACTTCACACCCTCCTGGTGTCTTCCTCTTTGTCTCTTCTTTCCTTTGTTGAACTCTTCTTCTACTGTCCAGCTGAAACACAGATCGAGTGTCCCCTGACTCAGGCCCTGGACCAAGTCTTCTCTCTTCTTGGGCAATAGAATTGGCCCCATGGCCTGAAATACAACTACTGACTCCCAGATTTATACTTTTAACCTAGCCTTCTTTTGGCTCTACATTCATCTCTAATTGTCCGCTTGACTCTCCATGGATAACTGAGGTACGAACTTAGCAGTGATGCATGCTATTGATATTTTCTCAAAGACGACTATGGCCAACACATAACACTTAATAATTCTTGCTCCTCCCCCTTTTCTATCTCAATAAATGTTGCCATCAGCCACCCGCTTGCACAAAGATCTAGGAATTATCCTGGATTCTTATCTTTCTGTGATACCAACGTTGTATTCATCACCTAGTCCTGTTGATATTATCTCCAAAAACAAATCTTGAATCCAATCTTTTCTGGTCCTCTCTACTGCTAAAGCACTACTCCAAGCCACCTTTATGTATTTTCTGTGGTTGCTGTAATAAATCACCACAAACTTGATGACTGAAAACAGAAACTTATTTTTTTTATAGTTCTGGAGGCCAGAAGTTTTAGTATCAAGGTGTCTGTATAGTCCTGGCTGGTGTGGCTCAGTTGGTTGGGCATCATCCCATGCACCAAAAGGCTGCTGGTTTAATGCCTGATCAAGGCACATGCCTGAGTTTCAGGCTCTATCCCTGGTAGGGGGTGTGTAGGAGGTAGCTGATCAATATTCTGCTCTTACAACAATGTTTCTTTCTCTCTCCCTTTTCCTTCGTCTTGTCCTTGTAAAGGAGAATCCTTTCCTTTTTGTGGCCAGCATTCCCTGACTTGTGGTCACATCACTGAATCATTGTCTTGATCATATTGCCTCCCTTTCTATTGTCTGTATCATATCTCCTTTGTGCTTCTCTTACAAGAACACTCATGATGGCATTTAGGCCCACCTGGATATACCAAAGATCTCATTTTGTTATACTAAAACAATCACATATGAAAAGTATTTGCCAATAAGGTAATATTCACAGGCTACAGGGATTATAAGGTGGATATCTTTTTTTAAAAAATTAATTAATTAATTTATTTTTGTTACAGATATTTCTCCTTTTTCCTCCACTGATTTCCCCCTCCCCCTCCCTCCCAGCCCTATCCCGACCTTTGCTGTCCATTTCCATTGTTCATATATACATGCATATAAGTTCTGTGGTTTATCTCCCCCCCCCCCTCTTGAGGGGGATTGTCAATCTTTACCCTACATCCACGTGTCTGGGACTACCCCGTTCCTCAGAACGTTATTTTCATTATATTCCACAAATAAGTGAGATCATGTGATATTTGTCTTTCTCTGCTTGGCTTGTTTTGCTTAGGATAATAGTTTCCAGGGCCCTCCATGTCATCTCAAAAGATAAGAGATCTTTCTTTCTTACAGCTGCATAGTACTCCATTGTCTATATGTACCACAGCTTTTTTATCCATTCGTTTACTAATGGACATTTGGGCTGTTTGCAGATCTTAGCTATTGTAAATAGTGCTGCTACAAACAATGAGGGTATATATATTCTCTCTGGTTGATGTTTCAGGCTTCTTAGGGTATATTCCTCGAAGTGGGATCACTGGGTCAAATGAAAGTTCAACTTTTAATTTTTTGAGGTAACACTATATTGTTTTCCATAGTGGCTGCACCACTCTGCATTCCCACCAGCAGTGTACTAGAGTCCCCTTTTCTCCACACCCTCACTAACACTTGTTGTTTGATGATTTGTTGATGGCGGCCATTCTGACAGGTGTGAGGTAATACCTCATTTTTGTTTTAACTTGCATCTCTCTGATGATTAGTGATGTTGACCATTTCTTCATATGTTTTTTAGCCATTTGTATGTCCTGTTTGGAGAGGTGTCTATTTAGGTCCTCTGCCTGTGTTTTAATTGGGTTCTTTGTCTTCCTTTTGTTGAGTTGTATGAGCACTCCATATAGTTTGGAAGTTAATCCCTTATCTGATGCATCATTGGCAATTATTGTCTGCCATATAGTGGGATCCCTTTCCATTTTGGTGATTGTTTCTTTTGCTATGCAGAAGCTTTTTAGTTTGATGTACTCTCATGTGTTCATTTTTTCTTTTGTTTCTCTTGCCTTAAGTGTTGTATCAGTGAAAATTCTGCTGCGTATTTCTTCTGAAATTTTGTTGCCTGCATTTTCTTCTAGAATTTTATGGATTCATGAGTTACATTTAAGTCTTTTATCTATTTTGAGTTTAATCTTGTGTGTGGTGTAAGTTGGTGGTCTAGTTTCATTTTTTTGCAAATAGCTGTCCAATTTTCCTAACACCTTTAATGAAGAGATTGTCTTAACTCCACTGTATGCTCTTGCCACCTTTGTCAAATATTAATTGAGCATATAGCCTTGGGTCCATTTCTGGGTTCTTTGTTCTGTTCCACTGGTCTATATGCCTGTTCTTGTGCCAGTACCAGGCTGTTTTGATTACTGTGGTTTTATAAAATAACTTTGAAATCTGTTAATGTGATCCCTCCTACTTTGTTCTTCTTTTTCAAGATTGATGTGGCTCTTTGGGGTCCTTTGTGGTTCCATATAAACTTTTGGAGTGTGTAGTCTAGTTTTATGAAATATGTTGTTGGTATTTTGATGGGGATTGCCTTGAATCTATAGATTGCTTTGCATAGTATGGACATTTTAATGATGTTAATTTTTTCAACCCATGAACAAGGTATATGCTTTCATTTATATATATATATATATATTCCTTTATTTCTTTTCTCAATGATCTGTAGTTTTCTGTGAAGAAGTCCTTTACTTGTTTGGTTAAGTTTATTCCTAGGTATCTTAATCTTTTTGCTGTGATGGTAAATGGGATTTTTTTAGTTACTCTTTCTGTGAGTTCCTCATTGGTGTATAAGAATGCTATTGATTTCTTGATGTTAATTTTGTACCCTGCTACTTTGCCAAATTCATTTATTAAGTCTAGTAGATTTTTGGTGGACTCTTTAGGATTTTCTATGTACATTATCATGTCATCAACAAATAATAAATTTCACTTCCTCCTTTCCAATTTGGATCCCCTTTATATTTTCTTTATGTCTAATTGCTGTAACTAAGACTTCCAGTACTATGTTGAATAAGAGTGGTGAAAGTGGACACCCCTGTCTTGTTCCTGTTCTTAAGGGGAATGCTTTTAGTTTTTGCCCATTGAGTATGATGTTGGCTGTAGGTGTTTCATATATGGCCTTTATTATGTTGAGATATGATCCCTCTATTCCCACATTACTGAGCATTTTTATCAGAAATGGGTGCTCAATTTTTTCATTGGTTTTTCAGCATCTATTGATATGATCATATGTTTTTTATCTTTCATTTTGTTTATGTGGTACATCACATTGATTGATTTGCAAATATTGTACCGTCCTTGCATGCCTGGGATGAAACCCACCTGGTCATGATGAATAATTTTTTTGATGTATTGCTGGATGCGATTTGCTAATATTTTGTTAAAAATTTTGGCATCTGTGTTCATTAGGATTATTGGCCTGCAGTTTTCTTTCTTTGTAGTTTTTTTATCCAGTTTTGGAATTAGGATTATGCAGGCCTCATAAAATGAGTTTGGAAGTTTTCTGTCTTCTTGAACTTTTTGTAAAGTTTGAGGAGAATGGGTATTAGATCTTCTTTGAATGTTTGGTACAACTTCCCCATGAAGCCATCTGGGCCAGGGCTTTTGTTTGCTGGGGGTTCCTTAATTACATCTTCAATTTCCTTTGTTGTTATTAGTCTGTTCAAGTTTTCTATCTCTTCCTGGTTCAGTTTTGGGAGGCTGTGTGTTTCTAGAAATTTGTCCATTTCTCCTAGATTATCCAATTTGTTTTGAGGTATGATTCGATGATCCTTTGTATATCTGTGGTGTCAGTTGTTACTTCTCCTCTTTTATTTTTGATTTTGTTTATTTGGTTTCTCAATTTTTGTTTTTGGTGAGTCTGGCTAAAGGTCCATTGATCTTGTTTATCTTTTCCAAGAACCAGCTTTTTGTTTCATTGATCTTTTGAATTGTTTTTTTAGTCTTTATGTTGTTTATTTGTGCTCTGACCTTTACTATTTCCTTCCTCCTACTAGTTCTAGGTTATAGTTTTTGTTCACTTTCTAGTTTTTTAAGTTGTAGGGTTTGATAGTCAATTAGGAATTTTTCTTGTTTCTTGAGGTAGGCCTGCTGCCGCAGTCCAGCTGCAGCAGGATCCAGGGGATCCTGAAGGTGGTAAGGCATCAGCACTGGGAAACAGATGACTACACAACTCAGAGGAAGTGTGACACTGTTCCAATTTATTGCAAGTTTCTATGTACTTATATATT